TGTGTTTTGTTTCCACCGGCCAAATGTTTGGCCGGCCGGCACTATAGATGGTCGACCGGCCATCTTTTTTGGCCAAATTGCATTTTTGGCTGGCCGACCACTGTTCATCTGCTTTTGCAGATATTTTCATGCCAGCTGTGATAGCTGGCATACACTCTGCTCCCCTCCATACACGTGTATGGAGGGATTTCCCTCTTATCTAGCTTGCTTTGGAAGCTTTACAAGATTGGATTGTCTATAAGAGGGAACCTCTCCTCCCTCCTCTAGGTTACACAAAAAAAGATTTCCAGAGAGACCTTTGATATTAGGGTTAGGGTTTGTATCCATTCTATCTCTATATCTCTCTTTTTCTTTGCCTTGTGTGTGTTTTAGTCTTACTATTGCACACAAACACCTAGTCTTACACCTTTTCTTGGTTGCTGAGGGACCAGAGGTCTGTTCTTGGTGTTCTTGGGTGGTTTTGAGCTCAAAGAAGCAGCTGGTCCACCATTTGTGAAGACGGTCTTCAAGGGTAACATTTTTACTTTTTTTTTACCCCATTTTTGCATAGCTTTTTTGACTACCTTGCAACTGTTTTTAGACTTGGTGTATAACATATAAAAGTGTTGTTTTTGTCTACTCTAAATAGTTGTTTAAGAGTGTTTGGGGCTTTGAGGTTGTTTGACCCCTCTTAAGCCTTGTTAGGCTCCATTTTTGTGCATTTTTGGTGAGCTCCGGGACCATTGTGTTTGGGCCTCCTCACCACTGAAATCTTGAGGGATTTCAGTGGTAAGGATGGTACCTTGAGGTCCTAAGAAGGAGAGGGCCACCCCCTCTCTTTGTTGTCCTTTAAAAGGGCCATTTTAGCCTCTTGTGTGAGCATCTAATTTAGGTTCATGTTGGCCATGTCCTAACTGATTTTTGTGCTTATTATGTCATAATATAGCTCTGTTTTTACTTGGTTTAGATACATCTTGCATGCCTTGCATACATGTCTTGTAATGCCACATTTAGGGCTTAACATGCTTTAGGTGTTAACCCTTGTTCTAGTATGATTTTGGCCAAGCTTTGTGGAGCTTTTGTGTATGTTTCAGTGTGCTTTAGCTCTATTTTCAGTTGCTTTGGTCATGCTTAACATATTTTGCATAGTTTCTTTGCATTTTGGCTTGTTAGCCTTAGGTATGTGAGTATGTGGCATGCTTTACTTGCCTTGTTCCAGTGGTTTGGCACCACTTCGAGCATCATTTCAGTCCTCATAGCATGCTTGTATGCTCGCATTTGATGCCTCTTTAATGCTTTATAAGGTTGTTGTCTTATGCCCCTTGCTTAGGCCCTTGTGTACACTTGCATGTTTAGGCCACTTAGATGCCATCTAGGTGCACCCTTAGCATTGTTTAGGTTTGCCTTGGACCTGTTTTAAGCCCTCTTAGCCTTGTGAAGCTTGGTTGACTTAGCCATGGTTTAAGCCTCCTTGGCTTGCCTTAAGTGCTTGAACCATTATTGCATGCTTTGCTTGTTTTGATTATTTGGTTTGGCACCTCTCTTTCATGATTTTCAGAGCTTACATTGCATGCTAATTGTCCATGATCATCTCTTTTAAGTGTCCTTAAAAGTTGCCTTTTGATGCTTAGGAAGTGGATCATGTATGCATGCATGCTTGTATGTGCATTTGGCCGCATCTCCATAGTTTATGGCCACTGTTTTAGGCTTGTTTGAGGGCTGCCTAAATTAGTTTAAGTCCATCCTTCACGTGTTATAGCATGCTTGCCTCGTGCATTGTTGCATACTTGGCCTATTACATGTTGTTGCTTGCTTGAAATCTTGATGCATGTGGCATGTATTTCATTGGTCAAGTTGCTTTGCATTGTTCCTATGCTTAGTCCACTTTACATGTTGTTGCATGTTTGCCACTAGCATAGTTGTCACATGCCCTGCATGCTCATTTTGCATACTTAGCCTCCACGTCTAGGTTGCATTCCATCTGCATGTATGCTTCACCTCTTGAGTTGAGTATGATAGAGGTCGAGCCCCTTTTGTTTGATTATGTGCATTTCATTCCATATAAAAATGCATACTTGGTTTCTTGGGCTATCACGCATTGAAATGCACGATTGATGGTCCGAGAATCGAAACCCATCCTCCTTTGAGTCATGAATATCATGAGGAGTGTGGTTGGTGCATACATTGCTTGAAATGCATTGCCATGCTATGTTTTGCCCTCTGCTGCTGTCAAAAACAGATTCTGCAGGAAGTTTTGGCCGGCCGGCCATCTCCAGTACCGACCGACCATCCATCCATCAATAGCCGATAGCTTGAACAAGTGGCCGGTGATCATTCCCTTTGGCCGGTGACCAATTCCATTAGCCGGTGGTGTTCCACAGCACTCAGAGAAGCAACCCTGAGACTTGTACAGTTTTCAGAGGAGGATAACAGTCAAAGCAGAGGCAACTTGTGCATGGCAGTGGCTTTCCGAGCGGAGCCGAACACGCATTGCATTGGGCCCTCTTCCCGAGGCTGTGACGCCCCAAATTTTTTTTTGAAACGTCATAAGATTTAAATAACAATAACTTGCTAGATAAAATTTTAACTACTAGTTAGGAACTTTTAAGTTCTTACAAAGCCAAAGTCCAACGACAAAATAAAACTACAAGTTCACACACAACGTCACAACATAGTTTAATCCTAATACAAGGGATAACAGGATTTTATTATGACAAAATCTTGACTCTAAGTCAGCCAAGGTTCGATATTGGCAGCAGCTCCAATTTCAGCCTCAGTCCCTTCTTCAACATAATCTGGCATGAAACGCCAGGGCAACAAAATATATGCCATGAGTTTTGCAACACAGTAAGAAAACGTAACCAACCTACCATTCTTTTTAAGAGAAAAATAATAATATTCTAAACATGAGATAACAATATAATTATACACAGAAATTACAACCATTAGAATAGTTTCAGTAATTTTAATAAATTAGGTGACACTCGAAATCTCACCAAAGAGATTTAACTTAAATTACAACCCTTAGAATAATTTCAATAATTTTTAATAAATTAGGTGACACTCGAAATCTCACCAAAGAGATTTAACTTAAATTACAACCCTTAGAATAATTTCAATAATTTTTAATAAATTAGGTGACACTCGAAATCTCACCAAAGAGATTTAACTTAAATTACAACCCTTAGAATAATTTCAATAATTTTTAATAAATTAGGTGACACTCGAAATCTCACCAAAGAGATTTAACTTAAATTACAACCCTTAGAATAATTTCAATAATTTTTAATAAATTAGGTGACACTCGAAATCTCACCAAAGAGATTTAACTTAAATTACAACCCTTAGAATAATTTCAATAATTTTTAATAAATTAGGTGACACTCGAAATCTCACCAAAGAGATTTAACTTAAATTACAACCCTTAGAATAATTTCAATAATTTTTAATAAATTAGGTGACACTCGAAATCTCACCAAAGAGATTTAACTTAAATTACAACCCTTAGAATAATTTCAATAATTTTTAATAAATTAGGTGACACTCGAAATCTCACCAAAGAGATTTAACTTAAATTACAACCCTTAGAATAATTTCAATAATTTTTAATAAATTAGGTGACACTCGAAATCTCACCAAAGAGATTTAACTTAAATTACAACCCTTAGAATAATTTCAATAATTTTTAATAAATTAGGTGACACTCGAAATCTCACCAAAGAGATTTAACTTAAATTACAACCCTTAGAATAATTTCAATAATTTTTAATAAATTAGGTGACACTCGAAATCTCACCAAAGAGATTTAACTTAAATTACAACCCTTAGAATAATTTCAATAATTTTTAATAAATTAGGTGACACTCGAAATCTCACCAAAGAGATTTAACTTAAATTACAACCCTTAGAATAATTTCAATAATTTTTAATAAATTAGGTGACACTCGAAATCTCACCAAAGAGATTTAACTTAAATTACAACCCTTAGAATAATTTCAATAATTTTTAATAAATTAGGTGACACTCGAAATCTCACCAAAGAGATTTAACTTAAATTACAACCCTTAGAATAATTTCAATAATTTTTAATAAATTAGGTGACACTCGAAATCTCACCAAAGAGATTTAACTTAAATTACAACCCTTAGAATAATTTCAATAATTTTTAATAAATTAGGTGACACTCGAAATCTCACCAAAGAGATTTAACTTAAATTACAACCCTTAGAATAATTTCAATAATTTTTAATAAATTAGGTGACACTCGAAATCTCACCAAAGAGATTTAACTTAAATTACAACCCTTAGAATAATTTCAATAATTTTTAATAAATTAGGTGACACTCGAAATCTCACCAAAGAGATTTAACTTAAATTACAACCCTTAGAATAATTTCAATAATTTTTAATAAATTAGGTGACACTCGAAATCTCACCAAAGAGATTTAACTTAAATTACAACCCTTAGAATAATTTCAATAATTTTTAATAAATTAGGTGACACTCGAAATCTCACCAAAGAGATTTAACTTAAATTACAACCCTTAGAATAATTTCAATAATTTTTAATAAATTAGGTGACACTCGAAATCTCACCAAAGAGATTTAACTTAAATTACAACCCTTAGAATAATTTCAATAATTTTTAATAAATTAGGTGACACTCGAAATCTCACCAAAGAGATTTAACTTAAATTACAACCCTTAGAATAATTTCAATAATTTTTAATAAATTAGGTGACACTCGAAATCTCACCAAAGAGATTTAACTTAAATTACAACCCTTAGAATAATTTCAATAATTTTTAATAAATTAGGTGACACTCGAAATCTCACCAAAGAGATTTAACTTAAATTACAACCCTTAGAATAATTTCAATAATTTTTAATAAATTAGGTGACACTCGAAATCTCACCAAAGAGATTTAACTTAAATTACAACCCTTAGAATAATTTCAAAGAATAATTTAAATATGGGTTTTCACAATCTACCCTCCTAAAAGAAAATTTCGTCCTCGAAATTAATTCGTACCTTTAGACTCGAATAGTTGAGGGTAATTGACACGTATCATATCTTCTCGCTCCCGCGTTGACTCTTCCGTCCCACGATGTCTCCAGAGAACTCGAACCAATGGTATAGTTTTACCTCGTAATTTCTTCTCGCGACGATCTAAAATCTTGACAGGCTTTTCTTCAAATGTCACGTCTTCATCAAGATTAATTTCCTCCCAATTGATGATGTGAGAAGGGTGTGGCTCGTATTTCCGTAGCATAGAGACGTGGAAAACATTATGTACTCTAGCCAGTTGAGGCGGTAGAGCCAAACGGTACGCCACTTCTCTTAATTTGTCCAAAATTTCAAAAGGTCCAATGAAGCGAGGTGACAACCTTCCCTTCTTTCCGAAATGAACAACTCCTCGACGAGGCTGTATTTTCAGAAACACATGATCTCCAACTTTAAATGCTAAAGGTCTTCTCCTTTGATCTGCATAGCTTTTCTGCCTACTCTGAGCGATCTCAAGCCTTTGCCTAATTAGTTTCACCTTCTTGGTAGTTTCTTGAACTAATTCTGGCCCTAAAAGAGGTGCTTCTCCGACTTCTGTCCAACATATTGGTGATCGGCAAGGCCGTCCGTACAAAGCTTCATACGGTGCCATACCAATACTTGCTTGAAAACTGTTATTGTAAGAGAATTCGACTAGTGGTAAATATTTCTCCCAACTACCTTTAAAGTCCATTACACAAGCTCGAAGCATGTCTTCTAAAGTCTGAATTGTTCTTTCCGATTGACCGTCAGTTTGAGGGTGAAAAGCTGTACTAAAACATAACTCTGTACCCAAGGCCTTTTGCAGACTTTGCCAGAGCTGTGACGTAAAACGAGAATCACGGTCTGACACTATTGAGACTGGTACTCCGTGCAATCTAATGATTTCTCGAATAAATAATCGACTTAGAGTGTGCCTGCTGGTCCTATTGGTAGGAAATGTGTCGTCTTAGTTAATCGATCAACCACCACCCAAATGGCATCATGGCCTTGCGGCGACCGGGGTAATCCTGTTACAAAATCCATTGTTATGTGTTCCCATTTCCACTTAGGTATTGGTAAAGGTCGGAGTTTCCCTGCCGGCTTTTGATGTTCTGCCTTCACTTGCTGACACGTCAAACACTTAGATACGAATTGAGCAACATCCTTCTTCATTCCACTCCACCAATACTGTCGCTTAAGATCCTGGTACATCTTATTTCCTCCCGGATGAACCGCAAAAATCGAATGGTGAAATTCTTTAAGTACTTCCTCTCTTAATTGTTCGATGTTTGGCACAAAAATTCTACCTAAATACCTTAAACTACCATCTTGATGGAGTGTCCAATCCAGTGAAGATTCCTCGGTCACTAATCGGGCCTTGATGAAGTCGGTCTCCTGATCAAATCTTTGGGATTCCAACACTTTGGTAAGAAGTTGGGGTGTTGTAACTATTATAAACAACATACCCTTCCCATTCTGAGTCTCTGGTTGTAACTTAAACCCATTCACAGTGCTTACCATTTCCCATTCTTTAATTGATATGTTGGCTACAATCTCCCTTGTCTTTCGACTTAGTGCATCTGCTACAACATTAGCCTTTCCGGGATGATAAGACAAGGTAAATTGGTAATCTTCAAGGTACTCCATCCAGCGTCTCTGCCTCATGTTCAAATCTCTTTGTGTGAACAAGTACTTCAAGCTTTTGTGATCGGTAAATATCTCAAATTTTTCGCCATAAAGGTAATGTCGCCAAGTCTTAAGTGCATAGACCACAGCTGCCAACTCCAGATCGTGAGTAAGATAATTTTTCTCATGATTCTTCAATTGTCTTGATCCGTAAGCCACTACCTTCCCGTTTTGCATTAACACAGTACCTAACCCTTCTTTAGAGGCATCACAGTAAACAGTGTACCCAACGTCACGTTCGGGTATGATTAATATTGGAGCGTTTGTCAGTCTCTTCTTGAGTTCTTGAAATGACTGCTCACACGCTTCGTTCCATTCAAACTTTACTCCTTTTTGCGTTAGGCGTGTCATTGGCTTGGCTAATTTGGAGAAATCCTGAATGAATCTCCTATAATAACCTGCTAATCCCAAGAAACTACGAATCTCAAACGTATTCTTAGGTTGTTTCCACCCCATTACTGCTTCTACTTTAGCAGGATCCACTGATATCTCTGATTCAGACACAACATGACCTAAGAACTTTACTTCCTTCAACCAAAATTCACATTTGCTAGCTTTAGCATACAATTGGTTTTCTCTTAGAATTTGCAAAACGGTTCTCAGATGTTGCTCGTGGTCTTCCTCCGATCGTGAGTATATCAAAATATCATCAATGAATACTACCACAAATTGGTCTAAATAGGGGGTAAAAATTTTGTTCATTAAACTCATGAATACCCCAGGAGCATTTGTCAAACCAAATGGCATTACCACAAACTCATAGTGGCCATAACGAGTTCGAAATGCAGTTTTGGGTATATCTTCTCCTTTAACACGAAGTTGGTGGTATCCGACCTAAGGTCAATTTTGGAAAAACATTTTGAACCTCTTAATTGATCAAACAAGTCGTCAATTCTGGGTAAGGGATATCGATTTTTAATGGTGGCTCGATTTAGTTGTCGATAATCGATGCACAATCTTAAGGTCCCATTCTTCTTCTTTGCGAATAATGCTGGCACTCCCCAAGGGGACGTACTTGGTCTGATGAACTTCTTACTCAATAGTTCTTGCAACTGCTCCTTCAATTCTCGAAGTTCAGCTGGCGCCATACGATGTGGTGCTATTGAAATCGGTGAAGTCCCGGGTTGAAGCTCAATCGTGAAATCTACATCTCGTTTTGGAGGTAATCCTGGTAATTCGTCAGGGAAAACGTCAGCGTACTCGCACACCACATGGGGTAATCCTGGATCCACTCGATTTTCGTCTTCCAAAATTAGGCTTTCCAACCATCCGTTTAGTTGATCATGCCATCGCGACTTGCGACACGTTGGAGTTAGAGAATCTTGTCTATCCCCTTTAAATTGAACTTTCGTGCCGTTAAGGGAGGATGCTGTCACTGTCTTACAGTAACAATCAATAATGGCTCGATGAACTGACAACCAGTCCATTCCTAGGATGACGTCAAAATCCGACATATCCATAACTCTTAGATCACAGATCAAATGTAAACCGGAGATTTCTAGCTCGCAAGATTTACATACTAGATTTACTCGGGTTTGACCTCCTAAGGGCGAAGTGACACTCATAGTTATCCCTAGCGTCTCTGGCTCTAGACCCAAACTTGTCACACATGCAGTGGATATAAAAGAATGCGAAGCTCCAGAATCAAACAATACTTTAACCCAAGAATTCATAAGGATTAACATACCTTGAATCACTGATGGGTTATCAAAATATTCTTCTTCTTGGAGAGCATACATTCTCCCTACTGCTTGTTGGTTAGTCTTTCCTGGTTTCTTCCCATTTCCAGCTCCTTGTGGTTGTGTTCTTGGTCGGCCTGCATTCCTAGAGGCTTGTGGCTGCCCCTTGTTGGTCTGAGTATTTTGAGTAGGCTTAGAACCTTGCCCAGGTTGGTATTTGTTGTATTGTTGTGCCCCTCGCTGATCCATAAAATACTCCCCACCTTGAGGACACTCACTTTGACGATGCCCCTGTTGACCACATCTGAAACATCTTCCTTTCCACTCATTTACAAAGTTTCCTCCTTGCTGGTTTCCTCGATTCTGCCTTTGTTGCTGTTGCATTCCTCCGGCATAAGGTGCTAGTGCATGATGGTTTCTGGTGTTGCGGACTGGGCCTCCTCCGCGTGGTTGGTTGTTGTTCCTTGATCGCTGATTCCGAATGCGTTCGGAATCCGCTAACTCTCGTTCCACAATTAAAGCTCGATCCACCATTTGGGCATAGGTAGAGAGTTGTACTGCGATCAATTTTCCTCTAATGTCTGTGTCCAAGCCCCATTCGAATCGCCTAACCTTATCTTCTTCATTTGCTACTATGGCTGAAGCGTACCGTGAAAGAGCTTCAAAACGGTTCACATATTGAGCGACTGACATTTTTCCTTGTTTCAGTTGGAGGAACTCTTGAATCATTTCTTGTTTTAGCGAGTTAGGAAAATACTTTTCCATGAACAGCTCTTCGAACTGTCTCCAAGTTAATGTCTCTACTTGTCGAGTACTTTTGATCATTTCCCACCAATGATCTGCTTCCCCTTCCACTTGAAATGCCACCATGGTTACTCTATCTTGTTCAATTCGGATGTCGGAAGTTTCTAGCAACTTCTTAATTTGTCTTAACCAAGCTTCAGCTTCTTGGGGATTTGATCCACCAAGGAATTTGTGGGGACGTAGCTTTTCAAACTTTGCTATCATCTCCGATTTGTTTTGATCTTGGTTTCGGGGTGGTATATTACCTACCCTATCAGCAATCGCGCGTATAATTCGAGCGACATCGCCATCAAGCACGCCATCGCCATTACTGTTGTTATTATTTCTTGTTCGTCTAGCCATTCTGCATGATGGGATTTTCTTGTGATTTATTCACTTATTTATTATCAGTATTATTATTATGCTTATGTGCGAGGACAGTTAAAAAAAAAAAAAGACTTCATTAATTAGATTAGATAAGCTACAATTAGCAAAATACAAATAGAACAAAGGAAAAGATTAAATAACACACTACGGGCAAGAGATAGCCCCTACAATCCGAGTTAACTCCTACACTCACAATTCTAAACTAGGTAATTTTTACATGTGAGCATACAAAACAATCAGTTAGCCTAGCTTATAATTCCCTTAAGACCCCTTAAAATAGCCAAGGAAAGTCTCTCCACACCAGGGCTTCCGGCTCCCATGTGGCTTGGAAAAGTCCCATGAATCGCCATAGCACCCTTACGAAGATAGCAGTTTCGCACACACGATGCCCTAGCAGCAGCACCGGCTCCTCCCGATAGGTCCTCCAGTCTCTGAAGTCCACTGACCCATCTTTCCTCACAATTCTGCTTGGGTCGAGCATGATATACTGAAGGCTCCAAAAGTCAAAAAGGTCGCCAACTCTTTTGGTGAAACCGTCCGGAAAGGGGCCTAGTTGATATACCCAGGGAGTCTCTTGTCTTAGAATCTGGATAGGTCCGATATAGGTGCCCACCCAACTCTCATTTTTCCAAGCACAACCTCCGAGGGGATAAAGTCTGACATATACAAAAGAGCCAATCTGCAACCCGTTTTGCACATCCCAACCCTCAAACGTGGCTCCTATATCTCCAGGGTTTCCCTCGGTATTGCCTTCCATAGACTCATCCTCAGTGTCTGACTCAATCACAATAACCTCCGGGGGGGTCGTATATTGGTACAACTTCTTCAACTTCTTCAGACTCAGGTTCAGGCTCAAGTTCAGGATCAGGTTCAGGGTCAAGCTCAGGCTCAGATTCATAGTCTTCTATAGGCATTTCCACTTCTTCACTTGGGTCGGATTCGATGGATTCATAGTCTTCTATAGGCATCTCCACTTCTTCACTTGGGTCAGATTCTATGTCATAGTTTTCCACCGAATTTTCCTCGTTAGAGTTAATGTCTGATGACCCTGGCATCTTACAAATAAAAAGGTTCTAATTTAGTTAGGTCACCGAGAATTACAAATTAACTTAAGATTTTCTTAATTGTAAAAATAATAAACTACTACCCATGGCCCAAAGGTTCAAACCTAGGCCTTGATACCAAGCTGTGACGCCCCAAAATTTTTTTTTGAAACGTCATAAGATTTAAATAACAATAACTTGCTAGATAAAATTTTAACTACTAATTAGGAACTTTTAAGTTCTTACAAAGCCAAAGTCCAACGACAGAATAAAACTACAAGTTCACACACAACGTCACAACATAGTTTAATCCTAATACAAGGGATAACACGATTTTATTCTGACAAAATCTTGACTCTAAGTCAGCCAAAGTTCGATATTGGCAGCAGCTCCAATTTCAGCCTCAGTCCCTTCTTCAACATAATCTGGCATGAAACGCCACGGCAACAAAATATATGCCATGAGTTTTGCAACACAGTAAGAAAACGTAACCAACCTACCATTCTTTTTAAGAGAAAAATAATAATATTCTAAACATGAGATAACAATATAATTATACACAGAAATTACAACCATTTCTTAAGGTCGGTCAAAATGGGGTGTCTAGGCAACGGTTAATTTGAAACCCTCCCTTGGTCAAATATTTAAGTGTTACCAACCGTAACTACCAGGGATGCCCACGTCCGGAGTTATATACCCAAGTAGTGGCATCCGTGGTTTGCCCCAAGGAAACGGTCTGCCAGGGGTAAGTGACCTCCCTGTGTGCCACCTGCACATCCACCCTTATTCCAAAACCGAATACCGAAAAGGGTTCAAATAAGTCCCGTGCCATCTTAGAGTTTCGCAACACAATTTACGTGAGAATTCTCAAAAACCAGGGCTCACCCTGAACAACCGGTGTTAACCGTCAACTCTTAATTCCGTACAGTCTTCAAACCAAGACTCACCCCGAACAACTAGTATTAACCGTCGATTGTTAACTTTGTATATGCCGTTAATCATTTCAGTTAATTTTGATATTAATCACAAATAATTCCAAATTTTTTAATCACAAGTAATGTTATACCAACTCATTAAAATTGCCAATCATAAAATATTGCATGTGTCACACAATACTAAATAAAAGTACAGAATTTAAATAAATAATTTATTTAAACCATGGTATGAAATAATAATTTAGATACAAGAATTAAACCCTAAATACACACATGCACAAATTTTTGATTTACAAAATTAGACTAGCATACTATTAAAGTGGTGGTTTTGTTCTGTCCAGAAAAATTTTCAGAGTATATATCTTGCAAATAAAATTATAAATACATTACTCATACAATTCTAAAATTCATATCAATCTACAGGATACTCAATAAACATGTTATGGTTATTTTTCAGAAAACATTTTCCAAAAATAACTTATAAATAATTCTAAACAAATTCCAAGGGTGTTTATGACACAGATTTGTCACATTTCCTTACATTAATTCCATGCTTAAATTTATAGATCAAACCCATAATCTAAAAATTTATCATGAAACTAGACTTCTCAAATTTCATCTTTTAGTTAGAAATTACCAGATTTGGCTTAGCATAGAATTTTAAATAAATTTTCAAATACATGGTAAAATCTGTCTCACAGTTTCAGATTTAGTTAAAAATTTGTATAAATTCGTAGAAAGCTCAAACATTGTTTCCAAAATTTTTTGGATAAACTAAACATCATAATCAACAACTTTGTAGAAGAAATCATCTCAAAATTCTGAGTATAAAATTATCTAAAAATTCGGGTAACATGCTGGCAGATTCAAAACAATTTATTCTCAACACAGTTTAGACAATGTATCATATGTATACAATCTGAAAATTTCAATTATGTAAAAAAAATGAGAGGATTGAGAGGGTTTTCTTACCTAACAGTAGGATTCAAATGGTTGATAAAATGGTAGAAAATTTTTGCTTCCTTAACCTTCCTCTCTTCTTCTCCTTCTACTGTTAGCTGAGAATCTTCTAGTCAGAAATTACAAGATTTGGCTTAGTATAGAATTTTAAATAAATTTTCAAATACATGGTAAAATCTGTCTCACAGTTTCAGATTTAGTTAAAATTTTGTATAAATTCGTACAAAGCTCAATAATTGTTGCAAAATTTCCTAAATAAACTAAACATCATTCCCAATAACTTTGTAGAAGAAATCATCTCGAAATTCTGAGTATAAAATTGTCTAAAAATTCGGGTAACATGCTGGCAGATTCAAGACAGATTATTCTCAACACAGTTTCAGATTTAGTTAAAATTTTGTATAAATTCGTAGAAAGCTCAAAAATTGTTTCCAAAAATTCCTAGATGAACTAGACATAATTATCAACAACTTTGTAGAAGAAGTAATATCGAAATTTTGAGTATAAAATTGTCTAAAAAGTTGGGCAAACATGCTGGCAGATTCAACACAGTTTTAGACAATGTATCAAATGTACATAATCTGAAAAATTTCAATTATACAAAAAAAATGAGAGGGTTGAGAGGGTTTTCTTACTTAGTAATAGGGTGACAAAATGGTTGAGAATTTTGGCTTTCTTAATCTCCTACTCTTCTTCCTCTCCTATCACTAAGCTTGGTTGCTTTGGGGATTTCTCTCTTCTTTTGTTTTTTTTCTCACCGAATGCTTGCATGCACAAGGAAGGCTTGCATGCATATATATATAAAATGCTAGTTGAAGACATCTCTCTCTCCCTCTCATTCTTACCATTATTTTATTTTCTCAAAAACATTCCATTCCCTTTCTCCAATTTCTAAGAGCAAGCTTTCCCTAAATTTTATAAGCTTTCCCTAATTTTTATGGCTATCCTAGATTCTAAAAGATGGTGGGTTTGGTAGGAGTTGTGGGTTGTTTGCCCACGGTTTGTTTGTTTGTATTTTTTTTTTTTTTTTTGTGTGTGGGTTTCTGAAAATTGACACACTAAGATTTTTAACTAAGGTATTTAGTAAGAATAGTTATTATACTGAATCCTAATTAAAATAATTTATAAACAACAAATATTGAATACCCACAAAATTATTATTCTTAATAATGTTTTGTTAGTGATTGAATTGAGTCAATTTAAAACTAACTTTTACACTAATGTATAATTCAGATAAACTGTAGACAAAATTAATTAATTAATTAATTAATTTTCTTTAAAGAATAATTAAAAGATGGGTTTTCACAGAGGCTGTTTACTGTTTTATTAGATTAATTAATTTGATAACTAGTTTAATTGGTCTGTAATATTTAATTAGCTTGTGGGTTAGTTAATTGTATTATTCTTTCGGCTCCTCCGAGCGAGGGCAAATTTGTAATAAGTGTGGGTGCGTGTGTGCATGTCTTCCAACCCCCACTTCTTTCTCTCTTTTACTTACCTGCTTTTGATGGTTAGTATTAGGGCATGTTTAATTTAGCATACCTTATGCTATGCATGCGTGCATCATTCATCAGTATTGCATGCACCGGGCTCGGCGCATCATACTAATAGCATAGTATTCCAAATCAAACTTGAATACGTACTACTTGTTGCGTCCCACATGCCATCTTATGAATAGCCAAGCCTATTGTAGTTGCATCTTGTATATGTTGCATTAGCCATCTTAACATGAGCTAGGATCATGCATTGATTACTAACTAGCTTTTATTTTGGCTCGGAGTACGAGGTAAGCTTTTATGCTTTAGTATCTTGCATGAGTGTGAGTGTTTGCCATGACAGCATGCTTAACATGAGGTTAGATGCTTATGTGATATTAACTGCTTGAATGCCTGTGGGTGGAGGTTGAATTACCTAAATTGGAATAATGCATTAAAACTGTGAGTTTTAAGCCCACTAGATAGTGGCAAAACCATATTTTCTAAAGCCCACTTGAGGGTGGCAAAACTTGCATTTTAGCCTACTTGCGAGTAGCAAACCA